CCCCACACGTCCATGTGAAGAGTCTGCAGTGGAGCCTCTGTCGGAGGAAACTCGGAGGAGTGAGGGGCGGCGCGCTGCCGCCCCTCGACGCAGGGAACGCAGGTAGGGGCAGGCCCCGGAGGTAGGGGAGGGACCGGGGGAGACCAGAGACAAGGACACGGGAGGCCATGCCTCGGAGACGAGGCAGGGAGGGGTGACCAAGGCGGTGGTGCCAAAGGAGAGTCTGGTGGGACAGGAGACGACACGAGCAGGGAGCAGACTCAGGACCAGACCTGGACGCTGCAGCAAACACCTGACTCGACGCAGCTACCTGACCAGACTCAGCAACCGGACGAGACTCAGTAGTCAGTGTGTACAGGCTCGACCCCGGCCGACGGGTAAACGTGGCCGACCCGGCCGACGGGTAAACGTGGCCAAGTGTCGGCCCGTCTGAGCACACGTGCAGTGGGTCACCCGCTGACTCGCAGGAGTGAACTGGTCAACCCCCCTATCCTGTAGATCAGCTCCACTCACCAAGTTCGTAGAGAACGAGGGGAGGTAGAGACCTGACAGGGTGCCAGAGGGGGCTGCCGGGCACGGTAAGACAATGGAGAAGCTAGCAAGGACAGGACCCCCAGAGGGGTCCGCCAGGGAGACCGCAACCGGCCGACTAAGCGGCGTAAGCGTGGTGCGGTCTCGAAAGAAGGAGCGGGAAGCACCCGAGTCAAGGGTGAAGGTGTGTAAGGCCTGAGCCGACGTGGTACCTGAGAGAGCAGACTCACCAGCACCTGGGGCAGCAGACGCACTAGCACCTAGAGCAGCAGCCTCACCAGCACCTAGAGCAGCAGCCTCAATGCCCAGGTCAGGCGGAACACACAGGTAACAGTCACCCTCATCACTAGTAGACACAGCATACATGGCAGCAAGAATAGCATCATAATCAAGATCAAAGATAGCAACCCCCGCCCTAGACAGCTCTCCCCAGCGAGGGATCTCAGTGGCGTCAGGAAACTTGTGACGCCACGCGTCCGTCAGGCGGCCGAAGCAGTGCTGGGTGGAGTGCGGGCCCCCGCACTGCTCACCAGCGCGGTCGCCTGTACAGAGGACGTAGGTGCAGGGACCAGCACCCCCACCACGCTGACGCGAAGCGTACCACTCACGAAGCTGCTGGGGGGGCGGGGTCTCACGAGTGCGCTGCTGCTGCTGGCGCTGACCACCACCGGAGCCGCCCCTCTGCGCAGAGCCGCCCCGACCAGTCCCACCGCTGCCTCCGCCACCTCCACCGCCGCCGCCACCTCCGCCTCCTCCGCTCCCACCACCACCGCCGGCGCCTCCTCCGCCTCCACTGCCGCCACCGACGCCCCCACCCCCGCCACCACTCCCACCACCACCCCCACCCCCTCCACCGCCTCCACCGCCACCTCCACCGCCCCCGCCTGCTCCTCCTGCGCCCTTGCCCCCCTTGCCCTTGCCGGTGCGGCGTCTCCCGCCAGGGGCAGACGCAGCTCCGACCGACTCGAGGCCAACGAGGTCGGCCGCAGCAGCAGAGGCAACAGAGGGCAGGAGGGGGGAGGGGGAACACCCCTCAAAGAAGGGAGTACGAGGGTCACCACGAGAGGCTCCTACAGCGACTAAGCTCTTCTCAGCTGCCAGGAGGCGCTCCTCGAGGAGGTCAACGGTGAGTGTGGTGGGGCAAACAGAGAGGAAGTGGTCCCTGACCGAGCGAAGGGAGTCAGGGAGCCGGGTGACTATGTAGTAGAGGGTGATGTACATGGGGGGGGGGGTTCTTGGCGCAGAACTCAGCAGGGAGCGCAGCGTGGTAGCGAGTGTCACTAGTGCGAAGGTGCGTAACTAGGTCAGCGACTGTGGAAAAGGCGGCGAGGTCAGGGAACAGGTACGACAGCATGAGGCGACTAAGAGCAGCAGTGGCGGGGGAAGAGTAGCGTGCAACTGCAGCATCGTACAGGGTCTTAGCGCTCTTATACTGACCAAAGTGCGCGCGCTCAGAGGACTGCAAGTGACTACGAACAGCAAGACGGGCAGCAGCATCACGTGTGGCCCACTGTGAGCGAACAGTGCTGTTAGCATCAGCTGGAGGGGCAGGAGAGGCGCCAGACGTGAGATCGAACACGGAGAGACCATCTGACCTATCGCACTGTAGGAAAAGCTGTAGGTCATCGACCCAGACCTCAAAGTCGACAGCCCGACCCTCAGCATCAAAAGTGAGAACATTAGGAGCAGCCATGGCAGCAGTGGCAGCAGCAGGCTAGCAGTAAGAGCAGGGCGGTGGTAGAGGCGCTGCTCAGGAGTGCTCTTACCAGGGCGGGTAGGTAGAGGCCCGCAGGTTGTGAGGCAGGGCCGAGGCGCGCCGGCAGGGACAGGGCCGCAACAGTGGCGGCGGCGGCGGCGACAGCGGCTGTGGCGGTTGCGAAGGCTGCTGTCTCGACTGCGGCGGTGGCGGCTGCTGCTTCGGGAGCGGCAGCGGCGGCGGCAACGGCGGCGGCGGTCGGCAGCAGAGGCGGCTGCAGTCGGCAGCGGCGGTGGCTGCAGCGGTAGAGGTGGCCGCTGCTGCTGCTGGGACCGGGGAGGGGCCGCGTAGGGCGGCGACGGGGCCGCGAAGGGGCCACGAGGGGCCAAGAAGAGCGGGGACGGGGCCGCAACGGGCGGCGGCGGGGCCGCGAAGGGCGGCGACGGAGCCGCGAAGGGCGGCGACGGGGCCGCAACAGGCGGCGATGGGGCCGCGAGGGGCGGCGACGGAGCCGCTAGGGGCGGCGACGGGGCCGCGAAGGGCGGCGACGGGGCCGTAACGGGCGGCGACGGGGCCGCGAGGGGCGGAAACGGAGCCGCGAGGGGCGGCGACGGGGCCGCTAGGGGCGGCGACGGGGCCGCGAAGGGTGGCGACGGGGCCGCTAGGGGTGGCGACGGGGCCGCGAGGTGCGGCGACGGGCCGCGAAGGGCGGCGACGGGGCCGCTAGGGGTGGCGCGAGGGGCCGTGAGAGGGGCCTCTAGGAGGGCGCGACGGGCCGCTAAGGGCAGGGGACGCGACGAGAGGGCGGCCCACGGGGCGCGTCTCGGGCAGGGGCGACTCGCGCTCCGGTCAGAATTTTTTTTTTTCGATTTTCAGTGGTGGGCCCTAGGAAGCGTTCCCACTAGGGAACCTGCTCTATACCATGTGAAGAAATGAGGAATGATTGACTAAGGGAAAGGTTGGGTACAAGTACAAACCTAGAAATGTGTTGTACCCCATATGTGCTACCCCACTATAGCCTACACAGGCTAAGTTATACAAGTCTGACAACGGTGACCGACCCAGTGCTGCAGAAGCGGGACCCCAGGGTGCGGAAGCCACCGGGGTGGGCTGCCAAGGAAGCTTCCGAGAAGAAGCACCGCCTGTATGACGGCCGCCCTGACTATGTGGGGTGTTTCGGCCTAGCAGCCGAGACCTACGGGGCGCTGGCGACCGATACTGTGCAGTTTCTTAGGCTGCTAGCTGTGGCCACAGCGAGGAAGAAATTCAGGCAGGGGCCGCTCACCACCACCGCCTCTCGCCTCAATGCTCACTACCGCCAACGCTGGTCAGTCATGCTGCAGCGATCCCAGGCGATCTCGTTCCTTAACAAGAGCAACATGGCAGCCGAGGCAGCCTTCCCCCAAGCACCTGCGGACCCCTGGGAGCCGAGCCTAGGGGACCTCTGGCAGGTGCTTGACCTTGCAGGAGTGTAAGTGCAGCCGGGGGTGAACCAGGGATGTAGGGTTGACCAGGAGGTTGTGAGGACCTAGGCAACTCAATTGGTAGTGCCAGGCCTGCCATGGCAGTGGCCACTTGGTGAACTTCCTTAGCATCTCATTGCTGGTCTTGTTTACATGCTGGTTTATCTGCCCTACATGTTGCCTGCCTAGGTTAGCCTATCGGCCAGTGTCATATCCTGCATGCCTGTACCCTTTCACCAACATTAATGCATGACTGCTTGAGAGAGAGAGAGAGAGAGAGAGAGAGAGAGAGAGAGAGAGAGAGAGAGAGAGAGAGAGAGAGAGAGAGAGAGAGAGAGAAGGTGTCTCAGGGAAGTTGTCTCAGGGAAGTTGCGAGGAAGCTGCTGGGTGAAGGAGGATAAGGGGTGGTCCTATGGTATGGGAGGAACAAGGGATAGGCGGATTGTGGGGTTCTCGGGGACTTGTGCTGCGGTGGACCGGGCTGCTCTGAGAGCTAGGTGATCGGTGTGCTTTGGCTGGATGGGCTTGCTAGGTTTGTTTGTTAGTTCTGTTTTCCTGGCTGCTTCCATGTTTAGTCACGCTAGTTACCACCATTTGCCATGCCTGTACCTTTGTGACCCATATCAATACATGACTGCTGTGTGTGAGAGAGAGAGAGAGAGAGAGAGAGAGAGAGAGAGAGAGAGAGAGAGAGAGAGAGAGAGAGAGAGAGAGAGAGAGAGAGAGAGATGGCCTAGGACTAGTCCTTAGCCGTTTTTTAGCCCTCCCTAGTGTAGGATCCAGTCCTTAGCTGTTTTCCAGTCTAGTCTCCTAGTATATAGTCCTTAGATGCACCCTTTTGAGCTCATTCTTCACGGGTGACTTCAGTTCACTCTCCAAAACTGGCGTGGAGCATGGAGCATTACAACATGCAGTGCTAGACATCACACCACAACAACAACACCCCCAGGCATGCCTACATCGCCATGGGGAAGCCCAAGGCCAGGCCAGCTACTAAGAGGGCCGGCACGGGGAAAACACCCGCTACTCGGCGAGTATCCAGCACAGCCTCCCGTCCATCCAGCAAAGGACGGATGCGGCCGCTGATACAAGGCCGAGAGGGGCCCCCTGAGCAAACTCAGCAAGCCGCATCATCGCCCCATGGCCGGGCTCGAGCGCTGCACCAGGGGCGCCCGGGACAAGTCCGATCAGGGGGAGATAATGGAGCATCTCCGTTGCCGCGGACACAGCCGCCAACTGCTCTGATGGCATCATCCCCCCAACCTCGACACCTTGGCGCGCCAAGCACACGTGGAGCTGGTCTAGTACGTATGACAGCAGCATCAAGCACGCCCCCACGTGCATTACGCGCTGCTCGACATGGAGAGGAGTCGCAGCTACACGAGCAACAGCGCGAGGAGCTGGTGGGACGGGAGGGAATAGCAGCACCTGGGGAAGTGGCGGAGGAACAGCGGACACCGGGGGACGAGGCGGCGGCGGCCGCGGCGGCAGTGGGAAACGCCGCAACGTTGACTGAGTTGGAGGTGACTGCAGTGGCTGAGGCGGCGGGGGCTGTGGGGCCAGAGGCGGCTGCTGCTGGTGCGACTGTGATAAGGACGGCGACTGTGGTGGCTCCGGGGTTTGTGGGCGAGCTTGGCGGGCTTGACGCTGCCTCTGGCAGCGGCTCATTTTCACCCTCTGCCATCCCCTAGGCGTTGCAACCAGAGGAGCTGGAACAGGTAGTGGATCCAGAGCAGGCCGTGGAGTTGGCGCTGGCGGCGTCGCCGGAGCCTGTAACGGCGGCTGCGCTGGCTGCAGCGGTGACAGCGGTGGCCCGGGAACAGGACGGAGACCTGGCCGAGGAGGATGCGCCGATTGCCGCTGCGAGCGCCGAAATGTCTGCTGCTGCCGATGGCGCAAGCACGCAGGGGCACGGCCAAGAGGGGAGCGATAGACGGGGTCACAGACCTGCCGCGTCTGCCGGCGCCGCCTGCGGGAAGACAGTGAAGAAGAAGCTTCGAGCCCAGCCAGCACCGAGGCGACCCGGAGCAGGGCTGGTACCTGGTCCCCAGGGACCCCTCCTGGGCTGGCTTCTGCAAGGGCAGTTGCCACGAGTGCAAGAGCGTCAACCGCCATCTGTGGGGACAAGCGGCAAGGGCAGGGAGGTAGAGAATGGCATTAGGCAAGCTACAACAGTGAACAACACGGCAGGAAACGCAATGGCAGGACCATCAATGCACCAAACGCCGCAACGGGAAACACGGTGCTCGACAAAGGGGGAGGAAAGAACAAACCCGGCGGCAGTTATGGCCCAGCAAACCCCACGGCGGGAAACCCGTAGCGTGACGAGAGCACACGGCATTGCCTGGAGCCAGCCAAGGGGTGGCCGGGCAACGCCGATGCTGGCGCCATGGATCCCCGCTGGACGGCCGCAGCAGGCTGGACGAGGCGAGCAGAACGCCGGTACCAGAGGCGGCGCAACGGCTCGTGGAGCGAGGGGAGGAGGACGAGGTGTCAGAATATGTTGTTTGTGTAGCCTGCAGTGGGGTACTCAATAGTGAGTACAGCCCCTTAGGGTTTGCTATTTGTATCCTGCTGCTTGCTAGTTCAATTAATTCCTTCTCAATTCTGTTCCTGCACACAATCCTAGCTCGTACTTGGCGCCTCCTTTCGTAGTCCTACTGTGGCCTAGGCTACTAAGCCTAGGCCGTACTCCTACTATATCTGACATGGTATCAGAGGGCGGCATGTCTGCCGCCTTCCTGTGTATGGGCCCACCACCCGCTTCCGCTGCCGTACTGTCCGCCGCGCGCCCCGTGGTGCGCGGCGCCGAAATTAGGGTTTCTGCCCGCCGCGCGCTCGGGACGCGTGGCGGCTTACCCCTCCGTGGCGCCCGTCGTGGCGCCCGTCGTTTCTACTGCTACCGGGGGCCCGCGCGGCCTCACCTCCCGTCGCCCGTCGTGGCGACCACGGGGGGCTCGCGCGCGGTCCCCTCCCGTCGTCCGTCGTGGCGACCACGGGGGCCCGCGCGGCCTCCCCTCCCGTCGTCCGTCGTGGCGACCACGGGGGCCCGCGCGGCCTCCCCTCCCGTCGTCCGTCGTGGCGACCACGGGGGCCCGCGCGGCCTCCCCTCCCGTCGTCCGTCGTGGCGACCAAGGGGGCCCGCGCGCGGTCCCCTCTCGTCCCCCGTCGTGGCGACCACGGGGGCCGCGCGGCCTCCCCTTCCCGTCGCCCGTCGTGGCGCTCCGGGGGGGCCCGCGCGGCGCCCTTTTCGTCGCCCGTCGTGGCGACCACGGGGGCCGCGCGGCCTCCCCTTCCCGTCGCCCGTCGTGGCGCTCCGGGGGGGCCCGCGCGGCGCCCTTCCCGTCGCCCGTCGCGGCGGCTCTGGGGGCCCGCGCGGCGCCCTTCCCGTCGCCCGTCGCGGCGGCCCTGGGGGGGCCGCGCGGCTCCCTTTCTCGTCGGCCGTCGGGGCGCCCTGGGGGCCGCGTTCTTCCCCCCCCGTCCTCCTACCTTCACCTGCAGCGGCCGCCCCTGGAGCCGCCCCTGGAGCAGCCCGCACCTGCAGCAGCCGCCCCTGGAGCAGCCCGTGCCTGCAGCAGCCGCCCCTGGAGCAGCCCGCACCTGCAGCAGCCGCCCCTGGAGCAGCCCGCACCTGCAGCAGCCCGCGGCCCATCCCTGCAGCCCCCCCCCCCCCCCCCCGTGCTGCCCATTGCTCCCCATCCGCCGTACGTTCCGCGGTGGTGGGGGTGTGGGGTGGCGAGCATGGGGGTGACCGGTGTGGGTAACCTGAAGCTCCTCCTCCTCCTCCGTCTCCCACTGCTGCAGCTGCCGCTGAGGGGGGTGGGTGTGTGGGAGCCGAGGGTTTAGGGTTTAAGGGGGGTGCCGTGGGAGTGGAGCTAGGGTTTCAGTAGGGGGTGTGTGAGAGGGGTGTGGGACGGTCGGGGGAGGTTGAGTGGAGGCTGCTGTCTTGTCGTCCGCAGCACCTGTAGTCCGGGGCGCACTGTCCTGGTAGCTCAGAGAGCCTGCTGCACCTGTTGCCCGTGGGTCCGTTGCTCCTGCCGCTCGTCGCAGCCGCAGAGCCTGTTACTCCTGTATTCCGGGACGCACTGTCTCGGTAGCCATTGAGAGCCTGCTGCACCAGTCGCCCGTGGGTCCGTTGCTTCTGCCGCTCGTCGTAGCCGCAGAGCCAGTTACTCCAGTATTCCGGGGCGCTCTGTCTCGGTAGCCACTGTGTCAGCCGCCACTGTGTCAGCCGCTTCTGTTGGCCGTGTGTCTGCAGCTTCAGTCGTCGCCTCCCATCTTCTCTCCTTTCATAGTCCCTCCTCCTCCTCACTTGCCCTCTGTGATAGCCTCTAGCTTTGCTGATAATTATGAACTATTGCTATGACTGCTCATTGTGCTGATTACACCCCACTTTAGCTATGGGGGTGTGTCAGAATATGTTGTTTGTGTAGCCTGCAGTGGGGTACTCAATAGTGAGTACAGCCCCTTAGGGTTTGCTATTTGTATCCTGCTGCTTGCTAGTTCAATTAACTCCTTCTCAATTCTGTTCCTGCACACAATCCTAGCTCGTACTTGGCGCCTCCTTTCGTAGTCCTACTGTGGCCTAGGCTACTAAGCCTAGGCCGTACTCCTACTATATCTGACACGAGGTGCCAGCGGAGGGGGAGGCGGAAGAGGCCCGATCGTCGGCGGAAGGGCGGCGCTCATGAGACTGGGAACGTGGCGAGAACGCCACGAGCGACCGGAGCAGGCGGAGCCAGTGACGAATCGGAACGAGGAGGATGTTGACAACAACGACGATGGGGACGACTTTGTAGCTGAGTCGGTCGCGCCTTCGGAAGAAATCTCGCTAGAGGAGGAGGAAGATGTGCGCAGGATGAGAGGAGCGGGAGGACAGAGGAGAGGCGAGAGAAACGTGATAGACCCTCAGGAGGAAAACCCACAGGGGACGGGAGTTGGGATCGAAGAGGAGAATAGGAACCAGAGTGAGCCTTGGGTTTGGTGACCATCTGACCTGGCAGAAGACCAAGCCATCTGGCAGCAGGTGGCCATGTGGGACTTGACTCCCCTACAGCGAGGAGATCAGCCGTTCCTGGTCCGCCGCATGCCACCCCAAATCCTACAGAGCTGCTCACTTTGCGCTCTCACGCCACTCATCCGTCTGTCCAAGGTTCCAGACTGTCCAGGTGCATGGGCGGTCCTACAGTATCTCCTGAGGCTGACTCTCCGTCCCGCCCCCGAACCTGTGGAAGGCAGCCGATGGTCATCAATCGAGCAACGGCTGCACCTATTCCAACTTGGCAACTGGCAGGACCACTTCAGGGATGCATGCGTCATCCCCGACAGTGAAAATTCCACAAGGCACGAGTTGGATGAGGCTGGTTTGTGCGCTAGAGCTGAGGGTTTGATGAAGAAGGGAAATATATCGAAAGCAGTTCGGGGTGGCTGTAACGGGGGGTGCATAATGCATCATTCACTCCGTCCGTTCTTTGCTGCGGGAGGATGAGACACGGGTGGCGCTACAACTGGACATTGAGAACACATTTAATAGTGTAGAACGCGCGGCATTCTTCACAGCGCTCTCCCAGTCAAGCCTGCTGCCGCTTCTACCGCTCGTTAGAACCTTGTATGGAGGGCCGTCACGGCTTCTGGTCGATCAACTTTTCGGCGTGGACCACATCACCAGCTCCCGAGGAGTGCGCCAGGGGGACCCCTTAGGCCCACTGCTCTTCGCAGCGGCGATCCAGCCGGCCCTGACTAGCACGGCGACCCTACTCCCCGAGGTGGCGGTGGTCGCCTACGCGGACGACATCACTATCGTTGGGCCAAGGGAGGTGGCGTATGAAGCGTTCAGCGCCATAACCAGGGACCTTGCCACGCTTTGCCTACGCTGCAATGTTGCTAAGTCATCTGCATGGAGCCAAATGATGCCGGAGGAGAGCGACACCACATCCACGCTCGGAATGCAGCAGAGCCGGGAGGGGATCCAAGTCCTAGGGAGCCCGGTCGGCCTGCCTACGTTCTGCACCAACCAAGTCCAAGCCCGGCTGGAGGAGGCATCACTGACACTGCCGCTGGTGGCACAGCTTCACCCGCAGAGCGCCTTGCTTATCCTGTCGAGGAGCATCTCCCGCCGAGTGTCGTACCCGCTCAGGACAACACCAACAGATACCCTGGAAAGGGATAGGTGGAGGAGCTGGAGTGAGGCCTTGCTGGCGATGGCTTTTGCAGCGGCAAAGCTCAGGGCCCCGGCAAGTGAACTGGAGCGGAGCTTACTGTGGCGCCAAGGAACACTACCGGTCAGACTAGGGGGGCTGGGGGTGGTAGACCCCAACTGAGAGGCCCCTGCAGCCTATATTGCCTCAGTAACTGCGGCCCAGCAACTGCTATGCGGCCTGAAACTCCCAGAAGCCTACCTCCTGAGCCGAGCGGTGAGGCTCTTGGACCATGGTTGGACTCCGAACCCACCAAGTGTCAACCCCTTGACTACACTAGAAGGGGCACTACCCCCCACAGCATGAGTGGCGTTGCGGACGTTTTTGAGAGCAGCCAGCTGAGAAGAGTAGCCTTCAACTCACCCTGTCCCGCAACATCAACGAAACACGGGCAGCAGAACTCCTGGCCGACACGATTGAGGATCAGCCTGGGAAGGACCGCGAGCATGCCATACGCCTCATTAGCCTGCAAGGGGTGGGGGCGGGAGACTGGCTCCATGCCGTGCAACAAGGAGTGACCTTACATTCGCCCCTGGTCAATTCTCGTTGGCGCTCGGCTTCTGCCTTGGTATCTCCCTTCCTGTGACGGTGAAGTGTCCGTGGAAGCGTGACAACTCGGACATCAAAGACACGAGTTTTTCGAACCACCTGGTGCGCTGCGATGAAGGTGGCGATGCAGTTCGTACCCACAACGCCCTGGTGTATACGATATTGAGAATAGCGAAGGAAGCTGACTTCACGGTCTTTCATGAGACCACCGCCTTCTCCCCTCCAGTGATCCGGAAGAGAGGTAACTTGGCGATCAAAGATAAAGAGTCTAACAAGACATGGGTGACTGATGTAACAGTGACGGACCCGGTGCTACAGTGCCGTGACAAGAGGGCCCAGAAACCACCTGGATGGGCGGCGAGGGAGGCCTCAGAGAGGAAACACAGGATATACGAGGGACGGCCAGATTATGTAG